GATAGCACTGCCGACGGGTTCCTGCCTGGTCGCTCACTCGTCCCACTCATGGGCGGACGCACGGGCAAGAACGCACAAACACACAAACACGCACACACATGCACACACACAGACTTAGACACACATAAACACACACACACACACACACACACACACACACACACACACACACACATGGTGTAAATATATACCCACTCACTCATCATACATGTACAATACACAAACACACACGTGCACACACATCGCACACACACGTGTGAGTGGGTATATATATAATCTCTTGATACAGCTCGACAGTCAACGACTAGCATGCCCATGCGCTCAACCAGAAGTCAGCCAAGTACTAAGTAGCCACCCTGGGAGGGCAGACACATAAATCTTTCCCCCATCACTACATCACCACACCCAGTCCAGGCCATCGTAATACACCGACCACTGAATACTAACCACAATAAATACTACAACCATTCCCTATTGCACACAGGTCAGTGCGAATGTTCTAACGTAGTTCTAATCAGGTTTTCCTTCTTTTTTTGTGTTAAAAAAACTTAATGGACGGAAACGTGCTTGCGCTCAACCAAGGAGGGTTATAAATAGGTCCTTAGGTCCTTGCGCTCCACGCATTTCGTCTCCAAACTGCCGCGACTTATTGGCGTTCCGTTAACATCTCCAGTCTGTTCATTTCCACGCCCTATTAAACACTGACCTAGTCGTTTTCTCAAAGGCAAGGAGAACTTGAGCCCACCTCCGCTTCCAAAAGAAATTCGAAGACCACATCTTCATTCAGCGCGAGCGTCTGTAGATGGCTTTTACCACTATACCCCCAAAATAGCACAGCTGTTAACCGTCTTAAATGTGAATTCTCACCAACCGAAGTCGTTAGCTATAACGTCGCTCCATTACGAGCTGGTAGTTTTAGAATAAGTAAACGTTTTACGGCATTTGCAGCACTTTCAGGTCATACGAGTGCCAAAGATAAGAAGCGTTAAAATAGTGTAACAATAAATTAGCGCAAAATGGCTGCCAAAGTTCGGTGCTTCCCAAAGCTTGGGTGTTCTTGAAAGCGGGAAATTTACATTTTCGTGCCTTTAATCAACGTTTTTCTTAAACATCCACACAGAAATGTGGTTGGGTTTTTTTTTAAGGGGTTGAGCCAAAGAAAAAAAATTCGAAAAAAAAACCCCACTTAACGTCCAGAAAAGTGCCGGATTCTTTGATTTTCTTGTTTTGACGAGCGCCTGATTTGACCATGCTACCTCCTCACATTTATCTATTTCACCAGCAGACAGAGGGACGGGCAAGGCACGCAGATTACCGTCATAGATAACACACCCACTACAAGCGTGCCCTGCACTACTAGTAAACTTTGGCCTCAGCACACGGTAGCAGAGGCCGGGCGTGCATTGGGGAGGGATGTTGGATAATATGAAAAAAAAAAGGAGCATACCCCACCAGAGCACTCACCAACAACCCACAGCACGACGAAAATTCGTAACAAACAACCCTTAGATACATTTGTAGGCCACGTCACAGACGTTTATTAATTAATATGAACAAGCATCTTTCTCTCTCTCTCTCTCTCTCTCTCTCTCTCTCTCTCTCT